GCACAACCATTATGGAAAGCAGTATGGAGGTTCCTCAAACAACTACAGATAGAACTAGCATATGATCCAGCAATTGCACTGCTAGGTATATAATTGCACTACTGGGAATGGAAATCATCATGTCGAAGGGATACCTACACTCCTATGTTCATTGCAGCTCTATTTACAACAGCCAAAATATGGAACCAACCTAAGTGCCCATCGATGGATGACTGGATAAGGATAAAGCGGTATATATACATAATGGAATACATAGCTATAAAAAGCAATGAAATTGTGTCATTTGCAGCAATATGGATTAGTCTGGAGAAAATTATAAGTGAAATAAGCCAAAGAAATAGAAATACCACATGTTCTCACTCATAACTGGCTGCTAGGAAGGAAGGAAAGAAGGAAGGGAAGGAGGGAAGGTGGGAAGAATGAAGGAAAGAAAGAAAGAAGAGACCACAACAGTACGTTGAACTTTCAGAAGGAGAGAACGAACCTAAGGATGCTAGAGATGGGGGGGGGGGGGGGGGGGGGGGGTTTGGGATTTGGGAAGTGATAGGTTGGGCAACAGGCATAAAGAAATATCACAATTTATAAAGAATGAATGTGCTAATAATAAATAATAAGAATTAAAAATAAAATTTAAAAAGACCTAAACACAGGCTCCAAGGAACTGGGCAAGACGGCTGTTAGCGTGGCACAGCTCTCAACCTCAGTTATCCTCACAGACTTCATGCTCACTGGCTCGCAATCAGCTTATGCTGGGAACCCTGCTCTGTCAGGCTGACATTCACAGGGTTTTATGATTTCGCCTCTGCCACTACATGTAGCAATCAATACACGTGTGAAAGGAATGTGACCCTAAGCATTCCAAAAAGTCCACCTCATCAGTCTTCCCCAAGGAGTTTTGGATGCACACAGGTGATAAATAGTACCAAATGAAGCCTCCTGACTATCTAGAATTCCTAAGGTGGGTCTTATATTATAACCTACTTGGTTTAATAGTGAGCTGCATACATTTTGGGCAAGGATCCCAGAGCAAATTGATTATGATGATCATCTTTCTCACAGGAGCATGGCTGTGAGTCAAGTCTGACCTACTTAAGAGTTTGGCGAGAAAAGTCGAAACAGCTGAAGCAGAATTTAGGCGAAAAGAAAAGGGAATGGCAGGAGGAATAAGATGGGAGGTCATCCTGTTTCTTTTCATTAGAATCTGAACCCATTATATTTCATTTTGGTAAAATGTTCCTGTTTCTAAGTAATTCTGTTTTCTTAGTTCTCTGAAAAAAGCCAAACACACAAATTGCATCCTTCTTTCTGTCACTTCAAATACTGTCCAGAAAAGAGATTCTCAAAACTATACTAACAGGAAAACATCTTGCTCTAAGACCTGAGTTAGTTAATATTCAAGTTGAGCCTGGAAGAAATAGTACAGATACAGAGCAAAGCATGGATGATGATAGGTTTCAAGGAAGCCCAAAATAACTTCTAAAGTTCCCCAGAGCACATTTTCAAAATATAGAAGATAGAACAGAACACTGAGATTGGTGTTGGGATAAATGAGGATATCATTTGCACCCTCCACTGATTCACACTGCCTCAAGCTTACCCTGACATCTGTAGCTTAGTTTGACCATTAAATAGGAGGGGAGGGAAAAAAAATGCCTGCTCTTTCCCAGAACACTAGAGAGGATGATTAAAAGCACTATATACCCAGAAGTTCTTGGTTCAGAATTAATGCTTACATTAATCCCCACCCTTCCCAGCCTCATCCACCACAGAATGTCCCTTAATAGAAACATGAGACTTCCCCAAAGAGAAAACATGTGGCAAAGTGCCCTCTCACCAACTTTTCTGTAAGAGCATCATTTGGGTAACATTCGTACTGAGTTTATTTATAGAAATTCACTGATGATATCAAAATTGTTTATTTTTCTTTGGGGACAACTTGCTTCCTCTGACAAAGCAAGACCCTTCTGAGGATTTTCTGATTCCCTAATCAGTTAATGACTTTGAATCCTCTATTCCCTTACCAGTGGAGATTATTGAAAACTAAGAGATGGGAGATATGGCAGAGGAGAAGGTAGAATGCCCATGTGGACTTTGGGATGTTTATACTTCAATCTGTAGATCACTTCAGAGTCAAAACAATTCCTGGTGTCACCATTGTAGAACAAGATGTAGACACGACTTGATAAAACACTGTTTCTGTGGAACTGCTAATTATTCCTCTGCAAAGTACAAGGTTTCTATTGAAAATTCTTTCTCATTAAGCTACCACACTTTGTGTTTGTGATTATTAAAGTATGTTCTCATTAAAACAACTTTTAGAAAATACTGAAAAGTATAAAGAATAGAGGAATAAAGTAATAAAAGTTGTACCTAATCACTCTTCCTGGAGATAACCATTGTTAACACTGGTGAATATACAACCAGTGGTTAATATATCTCTTTCCAGACATTATAAAAACATATACATATAATAAAAAGACACATACATAACATCATACCCTTCATACCACTTTTAACCTGTCCCCCCTTTTTGGTTAATATATTACTACCATATTTCCAGTTGGCAAAATTATTAAGTCATGTTTATTTGCAAGTCTTAGAGTAGAAGAGAGTGAAAGTCATTTCACCTATTCAAGGGTCTATTTCACCCCAATACTTTTGGATAGGCCCAAAGATTAAGACAGGTAGTTGCTTAGGGCAAAGAAGGCACATTCACAAAAACCTCCAATTTAAACTTTTTAAATTATTGGTGAACGTTGCATAAATAGCTGTATTCGTGTGTGTTGAAAACATACTGCGTTAAATACAAGCACTTAAAATATAGAACAATATTACTTAATAAACCCTAAATCTGCTTAAGCTGAATCTGAACATAACCCTTGCTCGGTTTATGACCTGAAGAGGGTCTTGCACATGCACTAGGAGACCTGTAAGGGTGTTGGGTAACTGCATTGTTCATAACAGTGAATACATGCAGCTAATAAAAAGTGGAAACATCCCAAATGTTCATTAACCATAAAAGGAACTAGTAAATAGTGGTGTATTCATATTAAGATATTCAATACAGTACAGAAGTGAAAATAAATGAGCTATAGTGATATGCATCAAAATGGAAAAATATCAAAAAAACATTAGGTTGGGTGAAAGAATGAAGTCACAGAAGGATATAATAAGATTCTGTTTACATTAAGTTCACAGGAGGCAAAATTAAACAATACTCTAATTAAGGAAACATACGAAGGTGGTAAAACTGCAAAGAATTATTAAATACAATTTAAAGTAATTGTTTTTTTCTCTGAAGAAGAGAGAGGGAAGAACATACAGAGGTGTGTGAAGTACTGGGAAAGTTTTCTTTCTTAAATTGGGTGATAGGTTCTTGGATATTCATCTCATAATTATTCTGTAAAGTGTTTTACATAGCTTTTAAAATGATAAAACCCCAACAAAAATAAATGAAAGAAAAAAATGCCAAATAACAAGACATATTATCATGAAATTTCAGAAAACTGAAAAAAAAGTACCCCCAAAAAACAAGTACAGAAGCTTCTAGAGAAAAAAAACAGGTCATCTAAAAAGAAACACAATTTCTCATCGTCAACCACTTTTAATAAAGTAATAAAAAATAAACAAGGCTGTAAATGGTCTGAGGAAAAATTTTCAATTTAAAGATTTATATAAGCTATCAATTGAGCAGAATACAGAATACAGATTTTTTTTCAGCATGAAATAATTCAGAAATTTTACATTCCATGAACTTTTTCTTAGGGAAAGTACTTGAGGACATAACCCACCATATCAAAGAAAACCTGGGATTCAAGAAGCAACGGATCCCACACATGGGAGTAATCCTGTCCTGGCCCAGGTTTACCTCTGTGAAACGGACCTAGAGAGCAACCAGTTGAAACTGAGCAGGAACCATAAGGTTTTGGGAAAGAAGTATATAAAAAAAGAAAATCAAGATCTTGGAAACATCTGAAGATAAAGTACAATGGTAGAGGGCTTACAAAAAAATAGATAAGAGAGAAAGAGAGACTATATTAAAACAATTCTGGGAACATTCTTTGAATAGCCTAAGAATTGTGGCAACATAATTGTAAAAACAAAAACACTGTTCTGTTAAATGTCAAACACTATTTAAATAGCTATGGAGGTGAAAATGTTGTTTATTGGTTTTCAATATTTAGAATCAATTTATATAAAGATAGGTAACAGAATAAAATGCAAATATTTTCCATTACTGGTGATATTACAGAGAAAGAAGGGTACAGTGAGGGATGGGTGGGAGTGCTGACACAGTGACTTTTCTATTCAGCTGTTACATTTTTGTTCCAGAATAACTCTCATAAGCTTAAAGAACTATACTCTAAGCTAATATCCTGGGTTTTGCTAAACAAATCCATGGTTTCCATAACCATGCTTTTCATGGCACAAAAAATGAAGGACTATCTTATTTGACTTTCTGCTGAAATAGGTAAGGATTTAGCTCACTAAATATACCCCCCAAATTAGAAATGCCTTGATAAATACATAAGCTATCAAGGCCAACCAAAATATTTGACAGCATAACTAAATTTGAGCTTGATATCAAGAATAATAGACACACCACATTCTTTTATGTAATCCTTTAAGTGCTTTCAAAAACAAAATAAAATGATAGTGTGGCAATTCTATACTCTTATGTAAAAGAAGGTAAAAGAAGGTAGGCCAAGAAAGATAACATCAATAGTTAAAAATAGGAAAAGCATTTGTTTCAACCAACGATTTCCCCAGGAGCTAATTAGTTACCTACCACATACGTTTAATGGTGCACACACTATTCTAAATTGTTTATATATATTAAATCATTTAATCCTCACAGCTATATGACCTAGATACTATTTTATCTCCATTTCACAGAAGAAAAAATTGAGGCACAGAGAGAATAAGTTCTTATAATGCCCACATTCAAAGTGAGGTAGAAAGACACATTCATAAATATTTAAAATTTGTATTTAGCTTACCATTCTCTCAATCTGATGACTCCTTTCTATAAACTCTCTTGAGGATTTTACACCATAATTTTCTCTGTATTTGATATTTGTGACTTTAAAAGAAGCAAGGTAATAGAATGACTTATCATCTGAAAGGTAAAATAAACGAAAGATCTATGGTTACATGTAATCAGTTCCTTGTCCCCCCACTTATAACCCACCCTTGCCGAATAGGCTCCTATAATGCAGTTTATTTCACTTCTACTTAGAACAAAAATTTTTGCAGACACTTTTCAAATATTTTGTAATTTCATCATTGCAGCTAGCTAAAATAGAAAAATTCAGGTCCCAAAGTACTCTTACAGAATACTCCATCTACAGATGTCTATGCATATCAAAACTGTCATACAATTGAACATGAAACATACAATGGAAAGTAAATATTGACAGCAATTGCTGAAAGTATTGTAAAAATTATCAATTTCCTCAAAGAATTGCTATCAAAAGTGTACTACACATAATCTGACTTGTGAAGATATATTGAACACGCTATTGATTTTTTCTATGCGATTGCTAAGCTTACTTAAATAGAAGACTATATTTATTGTTTCCACTTTCTCTTTTCCAATTCACTTCCCAATTCTCTCCAATCTACTAATACCACTAAAACTGACATTTGAAGGATAACAGTTATAATATCTAATGGTTCCCTTTTTTGTTTTCCTTTTTGTTTTACTCCCTGATTTCTTTCCTGCCTTAACTATGATCCTTGACACCTCATTTTTGACTTTATGAACCCATCTTCTAGTTTATTTTTTTCCTCCCTGGGCACTTCTCAGTTACCTTGGAGAAGTCTTTATTTACCCTCAGATAAAATCTTTGTCATGAGTTTCTATTCTATTTGACTTCAAGAGACTGTTTATTGCACATTCAGTAGGCACCTCAAATATATTTCCGCAAAAAAAGAAAGAAAATAAATAAAAATATAATATTTCCAAAATGAAATAGTTATTTACCTCTTCCTTTACTCAAGCCTGCTCTATTTCCTATGTTTTCTATCTTTGTGAACAGCTCTATCATCCACACAAACACCCAAAGCTTGGCTTCATCCACATTTCCAACATCTGATCAATATTTAGACTTTAAATCCTGTGAATGCAACCCATTTAATCTCTCCAATCTCTCACCCCACTCACATGGGATACATACTTAACCCAGGTCCCAATCAGCCACCCACTGAGGTCTGTTCAAAACCAAATAACTTTTTTATAAAAAAGAAGTCTTCTGTCTATATCCTTTATATTAAATGCTTCCATTACAATTAATTTCATCATCCTGACTAGAACTCTTGGAAAAATCTTTGATCCTTTCTAATTAATCATCAGGTTCTGACAATGTTATCATCTAAATTTTAAACGTCCATCCTCCTCACCAATTCCACTACCACCAGTGCTCCAGTTCATGCACTCATCATTGATTGCTGCAAATTGTAATAGCTTCCTTACTAGAATCCCTGCCTCTAGTCTTGTTTTCCCTAAATCCACTCTTCACATAGCAGCCAAAGTGACCTTTTAAATTGCAAATTTGACAATATCAGTTCTCCAATTAAAAAGTTTCCATTTTTCTCCATTGCCAATGGGAAGGAGTCTCAACGTTTTTATGATGAACCAAGAGAGTATTTTCTTGCCCTGGATCCTACCTACCTCTTCAGCATAATCTTTGACACATTCCCCTTAGGATTTATGTTGAAACCACAGCAAACTGTTTGCATTTGTCTGCATTCGCTGTGCTGTTTTTTCTCCTTAGGATTTTGTTTCTGCTATCTCTTTCATCTGAAATGCACTTTCTTAGGAATTCCCTTTTCTCAGACTTCTCCACTGCCTAAATCCTGTCCATGACAACACCTCCTCCTGGGGAAGGTGTATGGAACACCCAGGCTGAGATAAGAACTTCAAAACTGCCACTATACTACCTTGTGAAGAGCTCTACTTTGTACTTGCCATAGGATCATAATGATCTATAGATTTTAGTCCACTGGAATATCAGCACCTAGAGGGAAGTGTTGTGCCATTCTTTCATTTGAAGAAGCAGCAAGATTTCAGGTAATATTATTAAAAAAAAAAAAAAAAAAAAACTTAAGCTTTTTATAAAGAGACGAATTAATTATTAATTAAACATACCAATATTCTACATTTATTAAGTGCATAACACACCAGAATTGGTGCTAAACATCCTAATTTTAAATTTAATTAAGTAGATTTTCATTTTTTTTTTTTTTTGTCTTTTTCTGTGTCTGGCAACGGATGGCAACCCTCAGTGTCGCCCCCGTACCAGACCAGGACCGGCAATGGGATCGCAACCCTCGGTGTTGCTCCCGCGCCTCGCTCAGCCAGTGAGCGGGAACCGGTCTGTATGTGGGATCCGAACCCTCGGCGGGAGCACCGCCACACTTCCCAAGCGGTGCACTATCGCAGTGCGCCACTTTTTTCAATATAAATTCTGTATTAGAAATCATGGAATGAACAAAGTATATATGAGAATAAAAATAACCTATAACCCTAACACCTAGGAGTAATTGATACTATTATTTTAGTTTATGTTTCTCCTGCTAAAAATATTGTTTTTGCTTGGCTGGGAGAGATTATCACCACAATTTTGTTATTTTTTTTTTTGTTCCATTTTCAAAATTGATCCTAAGCGAATGAGTTCTGGTCAAGATCGTGGAATAGACAGTTCTCAGCATCACTCTCTCCAACAAATCAACCAATTTACAACTATAAAAATGTAACATCAGCCAAGCTGGGGCCTCTGAAGCTCAGGGGAAGAGGAGGAGAGACCTACGAAGTTCATGAAGGTGGGAGAAGCCAAGATGAGAGAAAGAAAAAACTGCTCAAAGGGTTTCGGGCTGCGGCCACTTTAAGGCTGGAGCTGCTGAGCGCATGAAGCAGGAACCAGCAGAAGCCACAGCTGTGCCCTTTAGATGGAGGCAGCAGGGGAGAAGAGGGCCTTGGTAGGGTTCCCATGTACCCACACAGTAGTGAGGAGCTAGAACAGCTGAAAAAAGGGAGCCATTCAGAGGCTGGTGTCATCATGAGGGGCTGGCACAGGGCCCATCCTATGGGAAGTGTTTGCAACACAAGAGGTGGGGGAGACAGGCCCACCAGGAGAACACTGGGACACAGCAAGGACAACCAATCCACCCCCCAATCAGCATAGGGCCTCTCAGAGGAGACTGGTTAGGAATGCAGAATCGCATGGGGTGCAGTTTGGTGAAAAATTCAGGCCCACATCAGAGTTTCTACGCAACCCAGGTGCATCAGGTCTCTGGAGAGCTGGAAGTACCTACAAAATCAACCATTAAACCCTGAGCTGCACAAAAAGCCTTCCCCAGGGAAACAGCAGCAAAGCAGCAATTTAGCTCAACCACACAGCTCAAGTACTGGTTCCCACAGGAAGTTCCCCTGTTTTAGAAGTAAGCAAAGGACAACAAATTAGATCCGGCCCAGGCACACCACCAGCACCTCAGGGCTCTGCCCAGGGGCCCAGGGTATGGAGAAGGGGACTGAACCCACTGCCCAAAACCAGGCACATGATGCCAGCACCTCATGGCCTGCCTGGGGACCAGAGCATGGGGAAAGGAACCGGACCCCCCTCCCATAACCAGGCACACCACACCAGCACCTTTGGGTCCACCCAGGGACCCAAGGCTTGGAGAAAGGAACTGGACCCCCCTCCCATAACCACACACTGCACCAGCACCTCAGGGCCCACCCAGGAAGCTGAGAGTTGGAGAAGGGGGCTGAAACCCCCTCCCACAACCAGGCACACTGCACCAGCAGCTAGGGCCCTGCCTGGGGACCCGAAGCATGGAGAAGGGGACTGGAACCCTTCCCACAACCAGGCACATCACACCAGTGCCTCAGGGCCTGCCCAGGGACCCAAGGCATGGAGGAGGGGACTGGAACCCTTCCCACAACCAGGCACACCATGCCAGCACCTCGGGGCCCACCCGGGCACTCGAGGCATAGAGCCAGGGAGTGGACCACCCTCCCACAACCATGCACACTGTGCCAGTGCCTCAGGGCCCACCCAGGGACCTGAGGCATGGATCCGGGGACCAGACACACCCCATAACCAGCCACACTGCCAGCACCAAAGAGCATGCCAAAACATCACCTCCATGTGGGTGGCCCACCACAGCTACCACAATAACCATGGCTGCTGCAAAAGTGGCTAGACAGCACAACCACCATGCAGATGATTCGCCAACCACTGGAGTACATTGACACAGGAAAGTCACCAGCAGAGATAAAGAAAAGAAGAGGATGTCTCTCTCCACAAAGCCCATTTCAGAGTGACAGAAGAAGCATCTGCTCTATGATAATATTACGGGACCTGATCACACCTCTCAGCATTGGACAGATCATCTAGGCAACAAATCGACAGAGTAACCATTATTCTTTCAGAAGGAAAGGAGAAATCTAGGGTAATTAGAGGGGGGAGGGGGGAGAGAGAGAGAGAGGGATGGGGAGAGATTGGACAAGGAGCATAAAGAATAATTAGGGTTTGTAACAATATATATGCTAGTAATACTGATTTGATCAACATATCGCAATGTTGAACCCCCAAAATGTTTATAATCAATTTTGATTCAATAAAAATAAATAAATTTAAAAAAAATGATCCTAAGCATTTTCTTACTTTAAAAATTTACATTTTGTTCATTCAAAATGAGAAGTTGAGAAGGATGCATCAGGGATGACATTTTACCCCAATAATTTGTGTTCCATTTTGTTGTTTTGCCGACTATTTTTATTTTTAAGATTATGGCTTTATTTTTAATTGATGGATAAATGGATGAATCAATCAATATTTACCAAGTTCCTAACAGATACTAAGCCTTGTCTAATCAGCTCTCACATGTATTGTCTTATTAAATTTAATGGTTTCAAGCTACTTCTCCAGGCACATCTTGACAAGATTTCACAATGAAAGTTCTATTACAAAAAGATTTAAATTAAGATTTATCTCAAAGTGACAGAGCTATTTTATTCACTATCATACATATCCAAATATTCTCTTTAAGATTTTTCCCAGTTGGATAAAACCATCCTTTCTAATTATGCTGAAGAAAAAGTAATTTTATTATATACTTAAGTGCTTTTAAAAGATCTAAAAATGTAAGTAATATATGATACAGTTATTATATTAGTTGTTATAACAATTACATTATGGTAATGCTGAACTTTTGTATTAAATAATTCCTATTATTTTATAGAATTGTCATTATATGCTTTGAACACTTTTGTCATTTATTGAGTCCTTATTATATGGTCAGCTCATTTCACCAACGAGGAAATTGAACATTAAAGGAATTTTTACGCAAGATCAATTGTAGAAACCCAGTTTAATAATGGCAAATATCGGTGAGAAATTATTATATAATACCATGCATGAAATACAAATTATCTAATTTAATCTTCACAGCAAACATCTGAAGCAGAAATAATGTTATACTTCTTTATATAAGAATACTGAAGCATGTTGAAGTAGAAAAATATTTTGCAAAGATCACCTGACTACTATATGACAGTGCAGAAATTAAAACCCATGTTTATTTGACTCTAAATTTCATGGGAGAATGTAATCCCTACATTCCTGGGAGTGGATCCAGTCTTACAGAATGAGAAAACAAATGACATTATCCTAATGTAGGCTTTACTCTTTAGATTTCCAAAAGATCCAACTTTAAAATTATTTCAGAAAACTGGGTTTCTGGATTTGTGAAATACAATTCTAAATACTAAATTCTTCAAATTATTTCATGTAACTCTATCAAGCATATTTGTTGTTACCCTACAACAGGAGATGGATAATTGATCATAAATAATCCTGAAAAAATAACTAGGGTGGTGAAAATGTTTGTTGAAAAAATATAATTTACTATATAATTTCAGTAACTTTTTAGTTTTGTTTTTTTAACAAAACAACAACAACAAGAAAACAAACAAAAAGCAAACAACTTGCAATCCCATGAATGTTTTTACTGGCAGAAGATATTTGCAGCACATATAACTGACAATGGACATATATTCAAGAAGAACTACTAAAAACAATACAAAATGACAGATGATGCAATATAAATGGGAAAAATAACTACACAGTCACTTCAGAATAACAGGAAACCCAAATGACCAATTGATACATGGATAGGTCCTTAATAAGGTAAATACAAATTAAAATTACAATGACTAAACTATAAGATACACCAAATTAACAAACGTGGAAAACTATGGTAATACTAAATGTTGGTGAGGATATGGAGCAATGGCAACTGCCACACAGTGCTGGTAGAGGACAGTTTGGTATTATTCATAAATATAAAAATGTACATGCCCCATGACCCAGCAATTCTACATCTGCATGTTTCATAGACAAACTCTTGCACATAGGTGCCAAGATATTGTATAAGAAGGTTCACAGCAGCATTGCTTTAACATCTGAAACCTGGAATAACCCAAATGACCATGAACATTTATATATATGAGTAAATTATAGCATGTTTAAGACAATGGAACATTAGCCAATAATGAAAATAAACCGACTCAAGCTACCTACAGTAAGGTGGATGACTCCTGCAACAATGCTGAGTAGAAGCAAGCCTCAAAAAAATATGTACAATGCTGTTATATTTATTCAGTGTTCAAATAGAATTGCAGTTTTTAAAATTTTATTTCTCTTTGATAAAATAAAAAATGAGGAACCAAATGAAAATCCCGAGAATAAATAAGAACACATCAGTTTGTCAGTTTTTTTATCATGATAATGAGAGGGCACTTTAGAAAGTTCATGGAAAGATTTGTATTATCTTTTTCCATGAATTTTTTGAAGTGCACTTGTAAAAAGTTAGAGACATGAATTCTATTAAGCATTAACTAGTCAATTAATAACACAGAAAGTGTCTTTTAAAGTGATACCAAAGTAGCATAAAAAATATCTATGGAGTTGTAAATACAAAACCTTCTGAGAAAAAGAAAAAGTAGCCCCAACATCCAGGAGCCTGGTATTCTGTTGAACATCAACATCGGACAAAGCCATCTGTGACTATAATAGGTCAAGACAAAGGCAAGACCATTCTGTAATATGTATGAGCTCAGACAAAGACAAGAACATTGTTCAAAACAATAAAATAAAACAAAGAGAAATGGAACAGCTCCCTAGCCTGGCTATTATGAGTGACTTCTGCTTCTCTGACAATTAATTACAGCTTTAGCCTCACTTCCTTATTCTTGCCTTCTAGATAATATTCATCTAGATACCCAATGACAGCGTTACTCCAGCTTTTTGACAGCATTCTATTCAGAGAAAAGACCCAGTTTCTTTAACCCTTCCCCAAATCACCTAACACGAGCCCAAATCTTCTAATGCATCATCTTTAACAATCTCTTACTAAGACACCGCGTGGTAACCCCATGGCGTTGCTCTCCTTCTCTGCACCGAGTAATAAACCCATCTATGGATGTATTCCTTGTGATACTGGCTGAAAAGCATTGATAAAATAACCATATTCTAAAAGTCACTGAATTATCTTATTAATCCTTATTTTAAAATTGCCCATTTTTAATTATATTATAATACAGTGAAAGCTGTTCATTCATAATTATCGTGAACTTTAGAATAAAAATAAATCCACCAAATATGCTACAATCAGGTGATGTAACTTTTACAACTAAGTCTGCTAAAATCCTTATTTCTATTTTGACTATTTGACATATTTGATTATTTTTAGACCCTTGAATTCTAGATCCATTCGTTTATAATCTTTAAAAGCTGTATTTTATTTTATTTATTTATATTTTTTTAGAATTTTTTTGTTTGTTTTGGTTTTGGGTGGCTAGCTGTTATGGGGATACAAACCTGTAACCTTGTTGTTACCAGTGCCATGCTCTCCCAAGTGAGCTAACTGGCCATCCCTGTCAAAAGCCATATTTTTAAAATAATTTTTCTACTTGTTATTCTGGTTACTACAATGTGATTTCCTTCACTGACTTTCTTATCATGTAAGAATGACTATATTACTTTTTAAAGCTGTATGTATCATCTTAAATACCTCTATTTTATCCTCTTCTATTTGTTTATCCTTTGTCATAGTCTGCTTTCTCCCTTCTCTTACTTAATGTCCATTTATTCTTAGGAAACTCTTCAATTATCTGCATGGAAAGTCCTAGTGAGTGATCTCTCAAATCCTTGAGAGTTAACCTCCGTATTAGTTTCCTATTGCTTCTATAACAAATTACCACACATTTAGTGGCTTACAACACCACAAATTTATTCTCTTACAGTTCTGTAGGTCGGAAGTCTGGCGTGAGTTTTACAGGGCTAAAATAAAAATGTTGGTAGAGCTGGTTCCTTCTGGAGGTTCCAGGGGGAGGATCTGTTTCTTGCCTTTTTCTAGAGACTATCCTCATTCCTTGCCACATGGTCATGTATTAATTGTTCCATTCTCCCTTTGCCTCTAGTCACACTCATTGCCTTCTTCTTTTGATCTTGCCTCTCTCTTATAAGGACCTATCATTTAGGGCCCATCCAGAAAATTCAGAATAATCTTCCCATCTCAAAATCCTTAACAACATGTGGAAAGTCCCTTTTGCAGTATAAGGTAGCCTTCACAGATTCTGAGGATTAGGACATGAACATCTTCAGGTAGGAAGGGGATATTATTCAGCCCATCACAACAAAAACTATGATAGGTTTTTTTAAAAATGTTTTTTTGCCATTACTTTTATTATACTTCCATTTTTTTCTTTTTTGACACTTGCAGCATTGGGAGCAGAAGGCATTTTAAACACGAAACTTCTTCATTACTTTCTAACCCAAAGAAATTACTAATAAGAAAGATAAAATTGCAGAGGGTAACTTGGTTTGTGCTTTTATTCTGTGAGAGTCTAAGAAATGGATATTATCAATATCCCAGTAAAGTAGGTAGGAAGGTAAACTGGGCATGTTGGACAATACTTCATTTCTTCTTTGGAGGTCTTTCAAATGTGGTTTTATTGTTATGACTGATATGAGTCCCTAAAATTTGAGGCAAAGTCTCAATCTCCTGTGATTATAAATATACAAACCAAAGAAAGGGGTAAATAAATCTTGGTTAATTGTCATTTGGCTTGACTATGGTACTGACTATCCATTTTCACATATAATTAGGAATAAATTCTTAGCTTTCCCTTCTCCCCCAGTCATGAAATAACCTGTTTTTCCATAAAAAATAATACTTGCTGTTTAGCCCTTCAAAGGTATTTTTTTCAAGTAACCTTTCTTACATCATGAGCTTTTCTTGAGGCAGCTCATTAATATATTGATTCTGAGAAAAATATATTAAATTCAGCACATGATATCATTTGTTTTTATTCTGAGGATAATCTTTTCATTCTTTTTTCTCTTTTTATATGGGTTTATTTTAGATGTGTCTAGCAAGGTAATGTATATCGCATGCTTCACTAGGTGGAAATATGTAACAACAGAGCTCAATGTGGGAGCAAACTATAATTTAACATCAATAAAAGATTAGTAATTAAAATTTTAATATCATGCAAATGTCATTTTTTATACAACAAAGAATTTCAAGATACTAAGTCATGGAGTACTTAGGCAATAGAAATGTGACCTGGATACTTACCCTCAACAACAAAATGAGTAACAATTCCAATCGCAATTCCTATGATTGCCGCAATTGCCAATGTGAAAAGAGCTAGCCGTATAGGGTCCCAAAATTGCTCTCTTCTTTGATATTCAACTTGTGGGTATTCAGCTTCTGAAAGTTCAACTGGTCTGTGGTAATAGAAAGAAAAAAAATAATAAGACGATTCCTCTATAAAATAGTTTATACTGCTAAATAACAGTGGAATACTTAGGTCTTGAAAAGAACACTAGGTTTTAATTTGCATACCTTCCCCCCAACATCCCAATCACAGTTCAAGTTTTTTTTTTTTTTTTCCTTTTTGTCTTTTTTCGTGACCGGCAACGGATCGCAACCCTCAGTGTCATGCCCGTACCGGACCGGGACCGGCAACAGGATCACAACCCACGGCTTTGCGTCCGCACCTCGCTCAGCCAGTGAGCGGCCGGTCTGTATGTGGGATCCGAACCCTCGGCGGGAGCGCCGCCACGCTCCCAAGCGGCGCACTGTAGCAGTGCGCCACCGGGCTGGCCCTACAGTTCAAGTTTTAAAGTTCTACTGATGTTAGGCCGGCCCGTGGCTCACTTGGGAGAGTGTGGTGCTGACACCACCAAGTAAAGGGTTAAGATCCCCTTACTGGTCATCTTTTAGAAAAATAAATAAATAAATAAATAAATAAAGTTCTACTGATGTTGCCATTCAAGTAAGGATATCTTCCCACTGCATTTTGTCTGTCTTACTGGCAATTTGAAATTTGGGCAGTAAAATACAAAGACTCACTTTTTAAAAAGGTAATTTATAAATAACATTTTTGTGTAATTTAAATAAGGAAGCGTTTAGCAACAAAATTATATAATATTCTCACCAGTTTTACTTGATTAAGAATAAAAGATTTCAATATGACTACTTTAAAAAATATTCTTAAAAATATCTTTATGGCTTGTTTTAAAACTAGCAATTTTACTTTTGAAGACCTGATTATGGTTTGTTCCATTTTATTAACATTTGGCAGTGAAATCACAAATTGTGAATTGTACTTGATAAGACTCCAGTGCCCAAGAACACCTTTCATTTCGACTTGACTCTTTCCTGTCCCCACTGGTACGCTTGTCCACTACCAAAATACCTTACGCCATTTAAATGATCTTTCTCCAACTTGAAAGTTGTCATTCATTTCCTTCATTTTCTGAATCTCCAAATATGATTTAATATTGTCTTATCTTGCAAGTGAGATACTTCTTGTAAATTTTTATGCTTTTAATTTTATTTAATAAGTATTTATTGTAAACTTGTTTCATTAAATGAGATAATAGATAGTCCTTAGACCAGTACCTACCACATCAAAATGTTTCAGAAACTGTTCTAGATCACTAAAAGTGTTAACATTTTAAGACATACTCTTTGCCTTAGAATGTTCACACTTTAAAAGGGGAGACAGACATGAAAACAAGTAATTACTGTATGGTGTGACCTGTGGCAAAATAAGTTTGTACAAGAAGAGAGAGCAACTAACTTTTTGGAGGGCTATCACAAGATTTTATTAAGAAGGCAACATTATTAAAACTTTGAGAAATAAAAATTCACCACGTGGAAAGAAAGAGAAAACAAAGAAAACAGCATGTGTGGAGAAAAAATGGTAAGGATGTGAAACAGAATTCATTACTAATAATTAGTACTGAGAATAAAAATATAAATAAAACATGGTTTTTGCTCTCAAAGAATGAAAGGTCTACAGCATATGTTCAAGACTGCAAGTCCTTCACAGCCCTGTAGTAAAGCAGTGGGCCTGGGACTAGCTCATGAGGAGTCTCATAACCCAAAGTAAAGAGCTGGAAATTTACCCTGCAGGAGCTGGAGATCCAACAAAAATTTTAATCAGACCGAGAATTTAGAATAACCACACAGTTGTGAATGAGGATGAGATTAGGACATGCCTGCATACAGGTAGACCAGTTTAGAGGTCATGTCGAAGGTCCAGGAGAGAGGCAATGAGGGCCTGAGCTAAGGCTTTGGCATTGGGGTGGAGAGGAGGAGATGAATATCGTTCCAGTCCTTGATCTGTGTTGAGTGATTGATTACCTACAGGACAATGAAAAGATTAGCGGCTCACTTGTTTGGATGTCCAAGTAAATGACTAGCTCCAGGCAAGGTGAGGAAGATTAAAGGAAGAGAAGGTATTTCTAATATAGACACCAATATTGTTTTAAAAAAGCAATTTGCTTACACTTACACTTGGCTCTCGGCCCAATGGAAAGTGTATGTCTTATGCCCTTTCTCTTTGACTCATTTTATTTTAGTTATATCACTAATACCTGTTTACAATTCTAATAAAAACAACTATTAAGGATGGAACTATACAACACAGGAAAAAAATTACTAATGTTTTCATATGCGATGCCTTCCTTCTCACCCATAATTAAAGTTTCTATTCCCAAAATCTATGGCAATAAGTATTCTTGATTATTAGTTTGTGGATATTAATGGCTGCTGTAATTTTCAAAATTATTCTCACTCTCTTTTTTCCCCTAAGTTTTATCAATTTCATTGTTGCACTCAGAGCCTTTCAAGAAACAAGAAATGACAAGAATCAAATTTTATCAAACTTATGGGGTGATAACCAAGTATCATGTCATGATAACAATGCGTCATTGTAAAGGAGACTTTTTTTAAAATCATGGTCATATTTAGTTTTAAACTGAATTTCTTCTGTCTGATGACCAGCTATTTTCAGTCTTAGGTAACTGGAATACTGATTTTTGTCTCATGTACTAGTTGAAATAAGTTTTACCAAATACTCATTTGCATGTTTTAAAGTGTAGCTGTCAGGAACAGCATGCAGATAACAGCCAATTACAAAGGAAATGGTGTTTACCTAATGGGCTAAAATAAGGTTATTTAAAAAACCCAACAAAGTATTCAGAAAATAATAGAAAAATTGGTTGGTTAGGCTGTTGCAAAATGCTATGGTGAGCATAATAACAAAGCAAAATGCACTCAAGGCATTCTTAAGTGTGCAATAAACTTTGAGAATTTGGCCATATGTTAAATATTTTTTTTTCAAATGTGTAACTGGTTCAAGATTTGAAAAAGATTGTTTTATTTTGATGACATTTAAAATTCCTAATGACTTTATATATTTCTATGTTTCTCTTGATTTGCATAGGACAATTATTTGCTCATTTAAATCTGAATATGAGTTGGATGATAAATGGAAACTTTTAACAGCCTTTTTAAAGATAAATTTTATTGTGTATGTTTTAGATATACAACATATCATGGGATACATATAGATAGTAAAAAGGTTACTATAGTAAAAAAATTAATATATCCCTCATTCACATAGTTACCCATTTTTTTGTTGTCATTTTTGTGGCAAGAGCAGCTATTTGTACTTCCTGGATGATTAATGATATTGAGTACCTTTTCACATACCTGTCTGCCATTTTAATATCTTATTTTTTGGAAAAATGTTCATTCAGGTCTTTTGCCCATTTCCTAATTGGGTTATTTGTTTTCTAGTATTGAGTTATATGAGTTCTTTATAAATTTTGAATATTAATTTCTTGTCCAATACATGGCCTGCAAATAATTTTTCCCAATCCACAGGCTGCCTTTTCATTTTGTTGACTATTTCCTTTGCTGTTGCAGAAGATTTTTTGATGTAGTCCCATTTATTTATCTTTGCTCTGGTGGCCCTAGTTTTTGACATACTATTCAAAAAAAATTATTGCCAAGCCCAATTTCCAGGAGCTTTTCCCTTATGTCTTCTCTTAGGAGGTTTATAATTTCTGGTTAAGTTTTCTGTCCATTTTGAGTTGATTTTGTGTACGTTGTAAGGTAAGGATCTAATTTCATTCCTTTGTATATAGAAATCCAGTTGTTCTGACACTATTTATTGAAGAAACTATCATTTCTTCCTTGTGTCCACTTGGTACCCTTCTCAAAAATTAGTTGACTGTATATGTTTGCATTTATTTCTGGGCTCTCTATTCTGTTCCATTGGTGTATATGTTTGTTTTTGTGCCAGTACCATACTGTTTTGATTACTATAGCTTTGTAATATAATTTACAATCAGGAAGTATGATGCCTCCAACTTTGTTTTTCTTTCTCAGAATTGTTTTGGCTATTTGGTGTCCTTTATGATTCCATACAAATTTTAGGAAAAATTTCTTTCTGCTTCTGTGAAAAATGCCATTGGGATTTTGATAGAGATTGTGTTGAATCTGTATGTTGCTTTGGGTAGTAGAGACACTTTAACAATATAAGCTCTCCTGATCTGTGAGCACAAGATATCTTTCTACTTATTTGTGTTTTCTTCAGTTTCTTTCCTCAATATATTTAAAGTTTTTAGTGTATAGATATTTCATCTTCTTGGTTAAATTTATTCTAGGGATTTTATTTTTTTGATGCTAGCAGAAATGGATTGTTTTGAGTTCTTTTTCAGTTAGGTTGTTATTTATGTATAAAAATGTTACCAATTTTTTTATGTTGATTTTGTATCTTGCAACTTTACTGAATTTATTAGTTCTAACAGTTTTTTTGTGTGTGATTTTTGAGGTGTTTTACATATACGATCAAGCCATCTGCAAATAGAGATAATTTTACTTCTTTCTTTCCAATTTGGATGTCTTTTATTATTTTTTTCTTGTCTTATTGCTCTTGTTAATACTTCCAGTACTATGTTGAATAGAAACAGAGTGAGCATCTTTGCCTTCTAACAGATCTTAGTGGGAAAAGCTTTCAGTTTTCTCCATTAATTATAATGTTAGCTATGGGTTTCAGTACAATTACTATAAAAGTTACTCATACTTGTTATTTTTCTTTATAATTTATGAAAATCATTGTTTCTGAATTTGTTGTGAAATGAATAACAAACATCATTAGATGCATAAACATCAAAAATATAAATCTATTAATTTTCATTGCCAAAATTCTGTGACTAGTTTAGCTGGTTTCACATATCAATCAGCAGAATTGAAATAAAATCTTGATCTTCAGGCTGAAGGTTACAAAGCCAGAATATTTAAAATAAAACCCACATCTTTGTTTAAAATCTTCTGGGATAATGTTTTATCCATTAATTCTTCAATGTGGACACCAACTAAAATGACACCATTGTGACATTGCATCAGTGTTGTGAAGTCTATATCA